GGATCCCCCCCAAGATGGGTGCAAGGATCCTGCTGGGATGGGTGTGGGGATCCCGGGATATCATTTCCCAGTGGGTGTGGGGACCCCTGGGATCATCCCCCAATGGGTGCAGGGACCCCATGGGGTCTCGGACCCCTGGAATTACCCTTGCTGGGCACAGGGTTTCCATGAGGTCTGGGAGCCCCGGGATCCCCCTGGCTAGGCTTAGGCCCCTGGGGGCCATGACCCTGTGCACCCCTGGCCGCCCCTGCTGAGCCAGGCTGAGACTAGCCACAACTCACTGCACTGATGTGACGGCTGGTTGATCCCTCCGCACTGCAGGGCTGAAAACATTGGACTTTTTTTCCCTTCTCTCTCATTCCACAGGCTTAGGCAGCAGCTCCTCCTTGCTGCAGTTTGGGCTGGGGACAAAAACAGGGGAGAAATCAACTCTTAGAGGAAAAATTACACTCTCAGTTGGGAAAGCTAGAGAGCAGCCCCGGGCTGTGCTTTCCAGCAGGAAAATCCTTATTTTCAGGTCCAGGTTTAGTTTATTTCAGCCTGAAAAATCCCAGAGTTGCCAAGAAAATTATATTCCCTCCCTATAGGATTGTGTATCCTGCAGATTTAGACACATTAACACTGTTCAAACACTCTTACACTAGAAATGCCATTGGTGCAGCAGCTGCGGAGTTCCTATAATTCCTGAATGGAGCCCCGGGGGGCCAGAGCCTTCCACAGATCCCACATGGCATCCCCCAAAAGTGGCACCTGCTAGCCTCATCCTGTATTTGTAGAAGATGGAGCTGGGCTCGGGCTTGGGGGAGCTGGAGGGGCTGAGCTCGCTGCCAGCTGCAGCCGTGCTCCAACCCCCAGTGGGATTCGGGGATTTCACAGGCTGTCCTGAGCCCAAGCCTGTCCCATGCCATACTGCCCCATGCCAGCCAGCCTGGGCCTGCCACGGCAAGGATTCCAGGAAGAAACTTCCTCTAATAAAACTTACGGAGCAGCAACCTACACGTGTCAAAAGGACATGGATCCCGGCCAGGGCTTCTGTGCCAAAAGCATTTCTCCCCCATGGAGCTGCATCCCATTGACACGAAGAATCCAAAACACAGCAGCAGTGGCCTGGGGGTTGCCAATGAAGGTCCTGGTGCTGTGTGGAGGGGAAACTATTTAGGGTTTGCTCTCCAAGCACCCCGAAACTCTCACAGTTGTCCCCAGGTGGCCACCTGGGAGGGGACAAAACAGGGACAGGGAAAGAAGAGGGGCAAAGAAGAGGGTAAAGGATGAAGGGGGGAAAATGTGGTAAAGGAAGAAGGGGTGAAGAAAAATGTGCAAAAAAAGGAGTGAAGAAGGGAATAAAGGAAGAAGAGGGCAATGAATGGGGCAAAGAAAAAAGGTAGAAAAAGGGGGCAAAGAAAAAAGGGAGAAAAGGGGGACAAAGAAGGGGACAAGGAAAGAGACAGGGAAAGAAGGGGGGGGAAAAAGAAAGGGGAAAGAACAGGGTAAGGAAAATAGAACAGGTAAAGATGAAGAGAAAGAGACAGGGAAAGAAGGGGGGGAAAAAAGAAAGGGGAAAGAACAGGGCAAGGAAAATAGAACAGGTAAAGATGAAGACAAGGAAAGCGCAGGGCAATGAAGGGGCAAAGAAGGAAGAGGGGAACGGGGTAAAGAAAGACGAAGAAAGAGGTAAAGAAAGAGATAAAGAAGGGGGCGAGGAAAGAGGGTCCGGGATTCTTCCTGCCAAACCTGCGGAGGCTCCCCTGCCCACACCAGGATGTCCGGAGGGGCCAACTCGTCCCGCCCCTTCTTCTCGAGGAAACGAAACCATCACCCCTTCGAGCACGTCTCGGTGCCACCCCCCCCGCGAAATTTTCCCGGTGTCACCGCCACTGTCCCCGAGCCGTCGGGATGGAGCCGGCGCTGCCGTCGTACGAGGCGCTGCCGGCAGGGATTAACATGGATGAGATGTCCCGGAGCGCGGTGGTGACGGTGGAGGAACAGCAGCCGCTGCCTCCCCGCGACCCCCTAGTCTGGTCCATCTGCAGCACCGGGGATCCTGCTGGCTCTCGTCTTCTCCGTCAAGGTGGGAGACTCGGGAAGGGCCCTGGGATGGGAAGCAGCCCCGGAGACCCCACTGAGCCCCTGAACCCAGGGAAATCCATGGAGTCCACTGAGCCCTGAACCCCCAGGACACCTGTGGAACCCACTGAGCCCCCACGCCGGTGTGCTTCATGGAGCTCACTGAGCTCCTGACCCCAGGGATGGCCATGGACCCCACTGAGCCCCCACCCCGGGGTGCTCCATGGAGCCCACTGAGCTCCTGACCCCAGGGACAGCCATGGAGCCCACAGAGCTCCAGTCCTGCTATGCCCAAAGCACCTCACAGAGCCCCTAGCCCCAGGGACACCCATGGACCCCACAGAGCCTCAGCTCTGGAGTACCCAAGGGACCCCACAAAGCCCTGGACCAGAGGGTGCCCTACAGACCCATAAAGCCCCTGTTCATGGCCCCCTGGCCCCACAGAGTCCTGGCTGGCAGCTCTGGAGAAAGTAAGGGTTTGGAGCAGGGGGGCAGGAGGCACCCTCCCCTCCAAACCTACTGACTCTCCCCTCTGCCTCCCCACAGTCCAGGGACCGTAAAAACCTGAGTGACTACAATGGAGCCCAGAGCTACGGATCCACGGCCAAGCAGCTCAACATTGCTGCCCTGGTGGTCAGCATCATCATCACTATCGTCTTCATTGCTCTGTTCTTCATCAGGACCACGTACTACACACGTCTTTAGAACTTAACTTAGCCCCCTCCCTGCTCCACTGGCAGCACATTCCCCCCAAGCCTGCCAGGAGCACCTGTACCCCTCAGAGCTGGGGGTGTCCTCCATGTGCCCCCGTGGAGTCTGCTGGGGCTCCTGTCCTGCTTTCTTTACTGTTCCAAGATGTTGGGGAGCCCTGTCTGATGGCTACCCTTGTTGGAAGTGCCTGGGGACAGACATCTCTTCTTGCCGGGGGAGCTGAGAACTCCTAAACCGGTTATAGCGAAGGGAGGGTGCCCTCCCCTGCTTGCCACTTCACTCTGGGTTTGCAGCCCCAACTGCCTTGAAACAACCCAAGAAGTGCTTTGTTTGGAGAAAACTTGGTTCAAATAAAGGTTGCTTTTGCTTTTACCCCAGCTCGGTTGCGTGTTGGTGGGAAGTGGTTTGGGGGCCTCCTGCCCCAGTTCGGCTGGATGAGAAACAACATCTGCTTGTGGCATGTGCGTGGGAGGGAAATTGTTCCTCAGCTGGTATATAATGCTCAAGGACATGCCAGGCTCCATGGACATCCCTGTGGGATGTGAAGCACTTGGAAGGGTCACCCCAAGGTTGTGGATAGCACCTCATCTGTGCCAGGCTGTCACTGGGAGAACCCCCATCCTCACTAGTCCTCAGGGAGGGGTAGGAGCAAGGGGACTTAAGGGCAAGCTGGATTTGGTGGGATGGAATGAACTGGAACATGACCGTGTGGAGCAGCAGACCTGGAGAGATTTCCAGAGGGAAGGGGACCATGGGGGTTGTGGCTCCATCCCGAATCGCCTCACTGCACTTCTCCTGAGGCTCTGGATTCCATGTTTCTCCCCTGCAGGGAGGCCATTTGGGATGCTGTGATGGTGCACAGCCCCCATCCCTTATGCCAGAGCCTGGTGTCCTGTGGATGGGAAGTCTGGTGTCCTGGGGATGGCTGCACTCCCAGAGCATGGCTGTCTGGGAACAGCCACATGCACACCTGCAATAGGAAGAGGGGAAGCAATTCAGTGCCTTGCTCTGCTGGCACATGCAGCTTTTGCTTTTGCTGTTAATCTCTCTTCATCAATCATTTTTTGCTCCACTGCTTCCCAGCAAACATGGGTTCCTGGCTGCAAACAGGGATCCACTGCCCACCTGGCCCCAGCCCTGGGATACCCAAACCCCTGCATGTCCAATAAGGACTTGGAACAACAAAGGCCATTGCTCCAAGATCCCCTCTTCCTCCTTCTCCCTGTTTTTATCAAGTTTCCAGCACAAATCCAAAGTGCAGCCCCATGCAAGCCAACATGGAAAAAAACTGACCCTTTCCCAACCCAAACCAGTCACCAGCAAAGCCTTCCTCCTGCCCGAGGCCACCCCAGGCTACCCTGGAGAGCTCCTTCCAGTCCATCCACACCAACCCCAAAGTCCACTCTGAGTGGACTCCACTCAGAGTCCCCCAAATCCCCTCGAATTCCCTTGGAGTCACCAAAGTCCCCTCAGAGGACCTAGGGTCCCTGGAATCCCCTTGGAGTCCCCAAAATCTCTTCAAATCCCTTCAGAGTCTCCAAGCTCCCCTGGATTCCTTCAAGTCCCTTCAGAGTCCCTTAGAGACCCCCAAATCACCCCTCAAGTCCCTTCGGACTCCCCAAAGTCTGCTCAAAGTCCCTTCAGAGCCCCCTCCCGAGGTCTTCTGGAGTCCCACGGGGTGCCCTCAAAGTCTCCCAAATCCCCTTAAGCCCCCCTGAACCCCCAGAGCTGCCCTGCACCCGCGCGGGGGTCGCGGAGCAGAGCTGAGCGCGCCGCGGTGTCCGTGTCCCTGCTC